GGGGGGGGGGGTTCGCATCGGGTGTAGGACCGTGCTGCCGTTCACGGAGCGTGGGGGGGGGAGGGGGGTTCCGCGCGCGCGCGCGGGGAGCCAGAACGAGCCGCCAGGCGGGGTGACCCAGGGGGGAAGGATTGTTCAGCAGCGTGGAGGAAGAATGGCAGTTTCCGTGGGTTGATAACCCTTCTGGTGGCCTTCAGGAGCCTTCTCGCCGCCACGGCTGGCTATCAGCCCGAACGCTCTGTCAGGGAGGTCTGGCGGCGATGCTTGATGTGACCAGACCAAGGCCCTCCGACATCGTGCAAAATATAACGACGGGAGGTTTGAAGCAATTTCGAGCCTCCGCGTGGCCCTGAGCGGACCCCTGGGGTAATCAAATAATGACTCGGGATGAGAGAACGGTCCCCGGGAACGAGTCGAGACCTCCAGGTGCCTACGCTGGGAGAATATCGCAACGTCGGGAGTCGGGGTTCCCCTCAACCAAGTTCAGCCAAGCCAGACGACATCAACACGATTCAGTAGTATTAAGTCGGGCATGTCCGTCTACAGGAAGAATTTGCAATGGTAGTCAGAGAAGAATATGTTGACGATTGTTCGTGCTCTCACTATCACACAGAATCCGCCTGCAGTAGGACATGGGCGACCTAACATTAACATCCGGGGAGGACGAGGAGGAGGGTCCTCCCTCTCTCTCCCCTCCCTTCTGTCCTCCATTCCCCTTACACCCCTCCTGCCTCCTCCCTCACCTCCTATATCCTCCCTCACTGCCCCCGTTCCCCCCCCCGCCTGCCCAACCCCCGACCTCCCGACGCCCCCGCCCCTCCCCCCCTGATGCCCCGATCCCCTCCCCACGCCCCCCCTGCACCCCTTCCCCCCCCATGAAAGGGGGAAGGAGGAGGGAGAGGTGTGTGTATGTGTGTGAAGTTGTGGCTGCTTCAGCTGGCTCTGCGCCAGGGAGAAGGAGAAAAGGAAGAGGGCGGAGACGCAGATTAGTATTTCACCTCCCCACACCTCGTTCATACGATTTTGTACATAAGAATACATGTGTGTGTGCATGTATGTATGCATGCATGCATGTATGTATGCATGCATGTGTTTATACATATATATACATATGTATATATACATATGTATATGGATGTATGTGTGCATACATGCATGTGTGTGCGTATTAGTGTATGGATGTGTGTATGTGTGTATGTATGTATGTGTATGCGTGTAAGTAGATGTGTGCGTGTGCGTGTGAATGCATGTTTACATGTATGTATGTGTATGCATATGTACATGCATGTATGTGTGTTTGTATGTGGTCATGTATGTTTGTATGGGAGTGTATGCATATAGGTAGGGAGGCATGAATGTGTGTATGTCGATATGTGTGTATGCATATGTTTGTGTACGTATGTATGTGTGTATATGTATGCATGTATGAATGCGTGCATGTGTGTATGCATGCATGAATGTATGGATGTGTGTATGCATGTGTATATGTATGTGTAGGCATGTGTTTATGCATGTAGATATGTGTATGTGTCTATATGTATGCATAGATGTATAGTTTTGTGCATGTGCGTATATATATATATATATATGTGTATGTATGTGTGTATGTGGGTGTGGATGTATGTACGTGGTGATGTATGTAAACATGCATGTTCGTAATCAAGGTAGGTGTGCATGTATGGATGTATACGTGTATGCATGCGTGTATGAATCTAGGTGTATATGTATGTATGCATGCACGGATGCTTGTGTGTACGTATGTGTGTATGGATGGCTGGCTGGATGTACACAATGCTACACATACAGTTAGATGGGGCGTGTTATAATACGTAGCGTCGCGTAACATGCTCATGCTAGAGCTGCACACTACAATATTGTATACGGTAGCGTAACCGAGCACGTTGTTATGCACTGCCATATCGATTCCTATAGGTTCAAAGAATGTGCTGTACTCGCTGTGCCACAATACCTATACCAGCGTACCTGCATACGCATATGTGTGCGCATACATGCATGCATACATCATTTCGTCGTCACCATCAGCATCGTCAGCAGCATCATCATAATTACAATCAGCATCTTCATCAGCATCATCATCAGCAGCATCATCACAACCATCACAATCATCAGCATCATCGTCATCACCATCATCATCAGCATCATCATCATCATCAGCATCATCATCATCGTCATCGTCATCGTCATCGTCATCGTCATCATCGTCGTCACCATCATCATCAGCATCATCCCCATCCCCATGCCCATGCCCATCTGCCCGTCCCCCATTATTGCTACATCTTCTGGTCATCCCCCATTATCGTGTCATTGTCACCGTCACCCTCGTCTTGCTCATCCCTTCCCTCCCCGGCTCATTATCCCCCTTTTTTTGCCTCCCCCTATTGATCATTCCCGTCATCATCATCATCATCATCATCATCATCATCATCATCATCATCATCATCATCATCATCATCAACATCAACATCAACATCATCATCATCAGCATCATAAACATCATCATCATCAGCCTCGGTATCGTCCTCCCTTCTTGCCCCTGTTCTCTTCCCGTTATGCCACCTCTTCATCCTCCCTCCCCTCGTCCGCCTCCTCTCCCTCCTCCTCCTCCTCCTCCTCCTCCTCCTTCTCCTTCTCCTCCTTCTCCTCCCCCTCATTCCCCCTTTCCCCGTTCTACGCGGGGAGGGGTGCTTTCGTTCTTGACGCTGGGGCCGTGGAAACAGGGGGGGGGCCGCGTGAGCAGAGGCCCTCGGGCCTGACCCGCGACCCGCCGCGCTGACGAGAGCACATCGGCACGACGGCTTCAGCCTGGCCCGACCCAGCCCCCTGGCGCTCTGCACGACTCGCGACGGCAGGTGGTTTTCGGCAGCGTCCGGCTCCGAGGGCCCCCGGCTCAGGCCCCCGGGATCCTGGAAACACGGCCTCGGGCCGCCGAGCGCGCTCCACTACTCGCAGAGTGCCTACTCGCAGACGTCCGAACAACCTGGGCCCTCTCCCTGATGTAGTGGTACGTGAATCCTCCGCGGCGGATCCAGGCCATTTGCGAGTAGCACATGGTGCGAGTAGTGGAACGCGCCTGTCCATCGGGGCACGAAGCAGAGGAGCGCCTCCCTCGGGGAGAGGGGCTCCAGACTTCGAGGGGGGGGTCGCACAAGGGTGGGCGACGAAGAGGGGGGGGGGGGCGGCCGTCGCCTTACAAGCGGGGGGGAGGGGGGGGGAGGGGATTCGACGGCGAGGGGGGGGGGAGGGAGTAAGTAAAGAAGCGAGGGGGTTTCGACGGCGAGGGGGGGTTCGACGGCGAGGGGGGGGGGGGGTCGACGGCGACGGGGGGGGTTGACGGCTGAGGGGGGGGGGGGGGGGGTTCGACGGCGAGGGGGGGGGAGAAGGCGGCGGGACTTCTCAGAAGCCCTCCCGCCTTCTGAGAAGTTGTCTCTGCGTCTTCTGGGAAGGCTGAGGACACTTCCCAGCAGGCCCGGGGACTTCCGAGCCAGCCTTCTGAGAAGGCCTGCCCCTTCTCACAAAGCGCCTCGTGGCTTCTAAGACGGCCTTACGGTGGGTGGACAACAAGTGTCCACGCCCATGGCGCCAAGACAACGCCACGACGACCTGCATCCCAAAGCCACTATGGGATTGGGGGGAGGGGGCGGGACATACGTCCTATAAGATGTTGTTGCCACATCGCGTGGTATGGTCTTCGTGCCACGGGGGCGGACACTGTTTGTCCGTCCACCGCAGAAGTTGGGAGGGCTTCTAAGAGCGCGTTTCGTAATTTTCGGCGGCAATGGGCATTACAGGGAGGGGGGGGGGAGGAGCCAGGAGGGAGGAGTATAATGGAACGCCTCCCCCCCGCCGTGCGCACGGCGGCAGTGCCCGGAGCGCACTGGGGGGGGGTGGGAGGGCGTTACGTTATAGGGACGGGGGGGAGAGGGGGCCGGGGGCTATAGTACCCACTATGTCCCATGCAATAAAGAAGCGCACTCTAAGAAGGACCCCGCCTCCCAAGAGATGTCCCCCCCCCGCCGCCTCCGCAAGGGGGCCGCCCCCCTCGCGGCACCCCCTTTTTGGGTGCGCGCCGCCGCCGCCGGGCGACGGCGCGGAGCAAACTTACGCAGAGCAGGGTGCGGTCGCAAGGGTGCTCTCGCGGTTCGGTCGGCTCGGGTCCCGAGCATCGGCCAGGGACGTTGCTCGGGGGGCATCTGCCGCGGTCGATCGCCCAGGGGGGTTCAGCTGCCGCCCCTGCGCGCATCGCTCCCGCCGGAGTTCCCCCCAGAGGGGGAGCTTCGGCGGGGGCTTCTCTCGTAGGCGCCCCCGCTCGCCCAGGGGGGTGCGGGGGGTCGCCGTCGCAGTCGGCCTCGGCTCGAAAGGGCGAGAGCCCGAACAATTGTCGAACGCCCTACGGAAATCCATGGTTTTGGCCTCCCGAGGCCCTCTCGAGGGCCTTCTTGGGTCTGGTCGCTTCTCGCGCGCCGCCGCCGCGCCGCTGCGCGCCCCGCCCTGGCGGCGTGCGGCCCGTCGGCGTCCGCTCCTCGCTGCCGGTAGGTCGGCTGCCGGCTCTGGTCGCGGTCGCCGGAGACGGCCTCGGCCGCGGTCGCTCTCCTCGGCGATTGCAGTCAAAACGTTGAAATAAGGAACGATTTGAGTTCGGAAGGGGCTCGATGTTCCTTAGGCTCCTCCACCGCTGTTCCTCCTGCCCTCCTCGGGCACGGCTGCGGCTTTACGGCCAAAATGGGGCTTCGTTCCTTATTTGGCGTACCTCCTTTCAGCGGCCCGACTGTACAAAGGGTGTGATTACGCCGGGGTATGGTTTGCGATCGGCGCCGTTGGGGCCTGTGGGGCACGACGCTGTCCTCGTCGGGCCTCCTCGGGGCGCGGCGGAGAGCTCGGTCGAGGTCCTCGCACGCACCCCAGGGTGTCCCCCCGGGTGCCGGTTGCAGGCCACAGCCTTCGCAAACAACACCCTTCAGAGTCGCCGATCCCCGCCGGAGGCGCCAGCGCAGCCTCCGCAGCCACAGGCAGCGGCT